GACAGCGTTTAAAGACAACCCAGAGATGCTGCCATGGAGCATCTCTGTGGAGATGAAGACACAGAGTTTGGCTACAATCCCCAAAGAAAGGAAAAACTGAACAAAGGAAATGCACCACACTCTACAACTTCAGGGGCGTTGTCGTCTCTTTGTGGACAGAGAGAATAGAGGATGAGAGCAGCAATGATCACAGTACAAGGTGCTCAAAGACTCAGCTCAAACCTACTGGGCTCAGGCACTGAACCCGGTTGAGTGGAGCTCGTCTGGAGACTCTGAGCTCCTCAAGGGTTGGGTGTTGTTCCTCCATCACGATTCACAGTGCAGGGCACTCGGACCACTTGCTCCTCTGTGGCTCCCTCCTGACACTGGGACTTCCTTGAGGGCACGGACCTGGTCATATTCAGAAAGCTGCATTTCACGTGGTTTAGAGCCCCAGCGCCCAGCACAGTCCCACACAACACACAAGAATCCCTTGGTAATCCCTTGGTGGGAATGAAGCAAGTTTTGAAGAAAATGAGCAACCTATATTGGCATAGAAGGTAGGGTAAAAGTTGGAAGAATATTAGAAGATCTTAAAAGGAGAGTTAAATTTACCCTACCTAAGGAAAGATTCCTATCTGTAAGTAATACAATGAAAATCAATTTGTGGAAGATGCGGTGTGTGTGTGAGAGACACAGACAGACAGTCGTACAGACACAAGGAAGGAAGATGAGGAGATGAGTCCGGAGAGCCAGGATACAATCTTTTTTCTTCCAAGGATATCCTTTTATTGTTTTCCCATCACAGGAAGAATTTTGTTCCCCACACCAAGTGAACATATTAAATAAACTAATTCATTTCACCATGTGTATGAATCAAGACATAAAGAATATCATAAGCAATTGAATCATGTTCTAGAATTTCTTCTACTGGCCTACAGGCAATTAGAGTTTTCAATCAGCATGAGATAACCACCCTTAGTAAATCAAGGTGATAAGATTCCAAACAAAAGAAGTAAATTTCTTGATTGTTCTGTACAACTGCATCGTGTTTTTGAAGAACTCTTGCCTGGCGGAGTTCACAGCATTGGCCAAGGCAGGAGAGCTCATGGAAAATGCTTGTTGGCTCAGTGAGCTGGCTATGCAGATTTATAGACTGGCCCGCTCCCCATTCATTATCCAGGATAGGGTCCAAAGAATGACTGGCTTCATCACTGGGACTGCACCACTTCAAAAATAAGAGGTTATTCCACAAGGGGAAACAGATCATGCAACAGCCCACAAGAGCAAGTGGGGCACCAAGATGGCCCCTCGCCCCACCTTGGCTCAGTCATGAGACTTGCTTTAGTCCATGAGATGTCAGGGAACATGACCCAAAAGAGAAGACTTGAAAAAGCACTATGCATTTCCGCTTACGCTCTTACATTTTTGACAACCCCATGAAAAAAGAACATGCTTCAGCTGGCCCTCTGAAACATCACCATCTAATAGAATTTTTAGTGGTAATGCATACATTCAATAGCAGCAATGTCAGCTATTATGATTCAAAAGCTGAAATTTTAATATTATTTCATTTTAATTAATTTAATTTAAAATAGCTATATGTAGCTAAATGGCTACCATATTAGGCAAAACAGCTATGATACACGATAGACACTTCCCACCTCCCTGCCTAGAGTAGAACCAGATCATCCCAGTTGCTTCTGCTGAAGCCACCCTATATTAACCCACCATCTACTAATTCCAGACACATGAGCAACAAACACTTATTGTTACATGCCACTGAGGTTTTGTGGTTGTTTGTTACACAGCAAGAGCTAGCTGATACATTTATTTTCTGACTCCCATCTGCCTATCTCAGGAAGAGTCCTCCTATTCCAATAAAAACGCTCTGCTCCAGTGGGATCATATTCCTCACTTTCCCAGCACCTGCCAAGCTTGTTCCCCCATCATGCCCTTGCCCCAGCAGTATCTTCTATTTCTGGCCTCTCCATTTCTGCCTCCGTCTACTGAAATTGGACCCGTCTTTCAAATCTTATATGTAATCTTCTCTGTAAAATATTCCCTCACTACTCCAATTCACAGCAATCCCTGTGGTCCATCACATGTTTTAGGGTTGATGTTGAAAGCATCATGAGTCAGACACAGACTTGGGCTGATATCCTAGCTTGGGCATTTTTAATTGATGCTATGGCCTTGAGTAATTACTAATTATTATTCCTTCATCTAAAAAAAGAGGGACAAGTTGCCGTGAGGATTAAATAATGTAAGACTAGCCAGACCCTGACACATGTAGATATACTCACCCAGTAACTGTTTTCCATTTCAATGGATTTCCTTTCTTTTTCCTAATCTAGTGCCCAGAACAGTACAGACCATCTAGTTCATACTCACACTCCCTGTCAATTCACTTTTTCATTCAGAGCCCTGTAAGGGTTTCTACCAGCTAAAAGAGCATCTACACCACAGACAGTGGTGGACGCTGTGGCATGGCCCCAGACCCCCCTTCAGCTCCTGGGAATGCAGCACTCAGCCCTCCTCTTTGATATCTGCCTCACCCAAGGGTCATACCTCCTTCCAGGGCAGCCCTAATCTAATCACTGATCACCTTCTCAGGAGACTTGAGAGAGTTCTGAAAGGCTTATCCCCCCTCCAGAGCTCCCAGAAGGGTAGCAGGCATCTTGCTGACTTGCACTGCAGCTCAGCTACTCCCTCCACTCAATCCTTCTTCACTGCCCTCCCTTCCACAGGGGTGGATCTGAGGTGCTCCCGCTAGTGAAATATCCTGCCTGCTAATCTCTGTCTCAGGGCTCCCATGGTGGCTCAGACAGTAAAGAGTCTGCGTGCAACTTGGGAGACCTGGGTTTGATCCCAGGGTTGGGAAGATCCCCTGGAGAAGGGAGTGGCAACCCACTCTAATATTCTTCCTGGAGAGTCCCATGGACAGAGGAGCCTGGCCAGATACAGTCCATGGGGATGCAAAGAGTCCAACATGACTAAGTGACTAACACTTTCACTTACAATCTCTATCTTGGGGTCCTTCCTAGGAACTGATCCTGTAGCACAGAAGTTAAAATGTGAAGAGAGCTCTGGGAGTCTTTCTCCTTGATTTGTAGATTAAAACCCCAAATAGGCTCAGGGGACTTCCCTCGTGGTCCAGGGGCTAATACTCCACCCTCCCAATGCAGAGGGCTAGGGTTCCATCCCTGGTCAGAGAACTATATCCCATATGCCACAACTAAGGGTTCCAAAGTCACAACTTAAAAAAAAAAAAGATACTTCGACTGCATGCCACAATCAAGGCCCGGTGCAGCCAAATATATAAACATTTTTATAAACAAATAGGCTCAGAAGGTGTGGATTGATAGGAATCATTTTTCAACAATAGATTTTCTAAGTCTGTAGAATGTAATGTGTTTAGTCTGATGTCACAAGTAAAGGAGAGGAGGAGAGCCCTAATTTAACACAGAGGTTCTGAGCTTAGAATCCAATGATCCCCCCCCCAATAGAATTCATGGGTCTGTTAACTTAGAAAAATAAACTTAATCTTAATTTTCAGTAGCCCATAACCCAAATTTAGCATTTCCTTCCATTGTAAGTGTAGGCAGCAATTGTATTAGCGTTTAATGACTTTGCCACTAACAGAAGTCACAGATATGCTCCTATCACATTATAGTCACTATATAGTCATTATAATAGGTGTCTCTGAATACTGTTTACAGTCCCATGACCTTGAAAGTTCAGTCATTAGCTGACCATACACTGGAGCCACTGCTTCACCTTGTTATTTAATATGCTTTTTTTTTTAATGACATGCATGACTTCAAACAACTTTTTAAAAATATTTTAACTCGTATTTCAACAGAATTGATTTCCCCGGCAATCCTATGGATTTTATCTTGCACATTTAAAAACCTAAGAGGGAGTTTTCTAGGCTACAGCAGACTGCCCAAGGAAGTCAGGGCGGTGGGGATAGCAAGGGGACACCCTTTGTGGGTGAAGACTTCAAGGACTCATTCTTTTTCTGCAAAGCCGACAAGCTCCACGTGGGTGTTGTCCCGGGCGCAGTCTGCCAGAATCAGACCAGCAGAGCCATTTCAGGGGCAGGACAGGCTCCAGCCGCAGTTGGAGCTGTTCCCCCGCCCCTCTTCTGGAATGCACACAGCTTTATATGAAATCCACATGGTGCGCGGCAGCGACAGGAGGCGGCACGAAAGGACTTTACCAAGTTGACAGCGTCCCCGCGCCCAGCCAGTCCGGAGAAGCTCCAGAGAGCGAAAGGTCCCTCCCTGTCCCTCTCTCCATCTGCCCCCCCCCCCCATGGTGACAATGGTCAGCTACAGGAAATTGGATCACCGGGGCGCCCTGCTTTCCCAGCCCTGAACTCTGGACACAGAGCAGAATCGTTGCCAAGACATATCCGGAGTCCGCACACACAAATGCAGGGGCTGTCGACTGCATTCCCGGGGAGGAGAGCTGGGCTTGGCGGTTTTTTCCTAACCCCGGCACCTACGGGAGTCCCGGGGCCCGCGCGCCGGCGGCGACCCAGCTCTGGCCTTCGTCCGGCGCCTGGTCCCAAGCGGACCGGGTCCTGTCCCCCCAAAGCAGGGGACAATGGCGAGACGCGCACAGACTTCCCGGCCCACTGCCGCGGGAGAGGAAACTCCGCCCGGGTCCTGGGGTCCGGGGTCACAGAGTCCTGGAGTCTGGCAGTGCGCGCGCGGGGCGGCGCAGACGGGGCGAGCTCCCCAGAACCCACTGCCCCTCCTCGAGCGACCGTGACCAGGCGGCGGGCAGGCGTCGGCTGGCCGGGCAGAGGCGGGAGCCCACTTGGGCTTGGAGACGGAGCGCCGCACCCCGCGCCCCGGCGGCCACCGGGTGCGCGTGCCCGCCCACGACGCTCAGGTCCGTCCGGCTCCGCGGGCGCCCCCGGCCCGCCCGGGCCTTCCTTCAGACGCCGCCTCAGCCCCTCGCGGCCTCCCGCCCAAGTGCCCCCACCTCCCGCCCCGGGTCGCACTCACGTAGACCGAGTCGATGTCGGATCTGTCGAAGAAGTGGAGCGCGGTGCTCAGCTTCAGGGCTGGAGAGACGAGGTCGTCTCCGGCCTCCAGCTCCAGGTCCCCATGCTCGGGGCCGAAAGGAAAGAGCTCCTGGCGGCTCAGGCAGCCCCCAGGCCCCGCTAACAGCAGCTGCAGCAGCAGCGCCCGCGTCCACGCAGCTCCACTCCGGCGGACTGTGGCCAACATGTTCCCGGAGCGCCGTCCCGCAAACCGAGGAGCTCTGCGGCCGGAGGCTGAGGAAGGCGGAGATGTAACCGGACGCCCCTCGGCAGCCCCTCCGCGCCTCCCTCCTCGCGAGGTTCCCACACCGGGAAATAGGGGAGGGGAGCCGAGGGGAGATGGGGAGGGCCCCGCCCCGTCCGCGGAGGCTGCCCAATGGCCGCGAGGGGGAGGGCGAGGGGCGACACCGAATCCCCCAGCCGTCCGGGTCCGGTCGCCCTCGTTCCCCGCCGGGTAATGGGCGCTAGAGGCCGCGATTCCCAAACCAACCCAGTTCCTCCCGAACGGCCCCTGCGGGAGGTAAGAATAGAGTGCCGGGCTCTGCACCATTGTCCTTGGCCCAGGGCTAAGTCGTAGAGATCCGGCGACGTGGAAATGGCCCGCATGCGGACACAGTCCACCCCAAAGCTGTTTGGTGGTGTCCGGAGGTCGGACTCACATGGTCAGACTGGTAGGAAGAGGGGGTAGGTGCTGAGGATTAACAAGAAGGGATCCGGCCAGGACCACGGCTATTTACTCAAACATCCATTCAACATTGAGTGTGGGATCCTGTGCTTCGTAATGGGAAGTCGGGCCAAAAATCGGGTCCAACCTCCAGAGTCAGTCATGAGTGTAGAACATCATTCAGAGTTAGGCAGGGTAAGGCCCCCCAAGTGATAAATGACATCAGGACTGGAATAACTGGTCAGGGATAGCGTCTCTGGGGATTTGGAAATCAAATCAGGTCTTCCGGAAAGGATAGAATTTCATCCAGGGGGCTGGAGAAGGAACTTTCTAGAAGCTGGAGTTGATGCCGTTCCCCCAGGAAAGGAATCCTATTCCTAGTAAAACCTTTAATACCAAAGCTAGGAATTTGAACTCTCTCTCACATCCACAGAAGAATTATTTAGAGTTTTTGACAAAGGGAGATATACGGTGTAAACTGTATCCTAAATAATCCCTTGATCATTAATTTGGCCCTGGGTTGAAAGAAGAGACGCAGGGGTCATCCAAGGATCATTGAAAGGAAAAATTTTAAAAGGATGAGGAAAAAAAAGTGGAAGTTGAAAAAAAAAATCTAAAAGTCATTATAATAAAGAAGGAATAAAACCTGATTATAAATTTGATATGGGAAGGGAGAGGGGAGAAACTTTTAAATTGAGTGAAAGGTTTTGAGCCTAGAGAATTGCAAACCTTCTGTTGCCTTTTGAAGTCAGGGAATGGGAGCTGGGACTTTGGGAGTTTGATTTGTTTGATGTCAGACTTGTTAACCTGTAGAGGTCAACAGGGTATCAATACTTCCCTCCCCACCCCCCAACCCCCAGCCCTGTTGCCAGCTAAAATTAAGGACCTGGGACCCAGTCTGGGAGAATTCTCCCAATAAACAGTGAATTCTGTATCATATTTAGATATGCCCTGGACCAGTAGAAACTACAAGGAAAGTCAATGAAATACACCCATGTTTTGCAATCACAATAACCCAAAGAGACGGATACCATCCACACATACAGAAGATGGACAGAGAGAGCCAGAGAGGTTTAAATCACTTTGCCAAAGTTACACATCTGGAAGCCTCTATGGGGACCCAGGGTGGTCTGACTCCAGGGACCCCTTAACCACAGCATTAGGTGGAGCTGTTATTGCTACAGTTGTTTCCCTTGATGCTAAAGAGTGATTAACACAGCCTGCAATCTGTTGCCAAATTCAGTGGCTTTTCTTTCAATTCCCTCCCAGAGATGTAGTGCCCCAGAGCCTCTGTCCTGCCCAGGAAGACCTCTGACTCTATCCCATGCTATCCATAGTAGCCTCAGCTGCTGCATCACCCACTTCTGTGCTTTTGGTCTCCAGGAGACTCTTCCTCCTCTGTGCTCACCTGAACGGCCTCAAATTTCCCAGTGTGTGCCCAGCCAGTCTCATCCCACCTGCCCTTCAGATTTTCCCCTTCCAAACCTCCTCCCCACACCTTTTATCTCACATCACTGCCGGCTCTGAAACCGCAGTCTGCCCCTGGAATGATCTCACCCCTTCTCCTGAATTCTCTGCCTTTTTAGTACGCAGACCGCTTCTGAAACTCCCATTGGTCCATGGAAATCTTCTTTGCTAATACAGAAGCAAGAGTCTTTCTCCACTCTGCCGGTTCGGGGAAGCTTGGAGTCCAGTCTGTCTGAGGCCTGGGCTCTGCCATTTACTACCCCTGTTCACCTGGGCAGGTTTCTGTATCCTTCTCATTTGCATGGAATGTTCGTACCTACAATCAAAGAATTTTATGGGAATTACCCAAGATGATCCACGAAATGCTCCTAGCACCAAACTGGAGCATAAAGGAAGTACTCAGTTAATACTAAGCCATCATCATCTAAATATATACTTTTCATGATTCTTATTGTTTCCGCAATTACTAAGATCCACTTGGAGTCAGACACTGTACTAGGAATTCTAAATACAAAGACCGTTAACTCATAATCCCTTTTGCAAGCAGCTCATAGTCTACTGGGAAAGACAGACACACCTGTAACACCGCAGGATATTTAACAGATAGAAAGCAACAGCAGATGCCCCTTGTTGAATGCCTGCTTCTGCTAGATGCTTTATGGAACATCAGATTTAATACTAAAAACAACTGCACAAGCTAGTAGTTTTATAGTAGATGTAGGGGAAATGAGAGCTGCAAAAGTTAATGTGCCCAGTTTCACACAGTCAGTGGAAGAGCCAGGGTTTGAATCCCAGTGTATCTGAAACCAATACATGTGTATGTAACCCTATGCCTGTAGCCTGCCAGGTTCCTTTGTCCATGGGATTCTCTAGGCAAGAATACTGGAGTGGGTTGCCATGTCCTCCTCCAGAGGATCTTCCTGACCCAGGGACTGAACCCTCTTAAGCCTTACATCTTCTGCATTGGCAGGCGGGTTCTTTACCAGTAGCACCACCTGGGAAGCCTATTTGCCTATATGTCTGTTCCCTAATGTCATTAGTATCATCTTGCTTAGTAAGTCTGGGGTATACTGTAAACTATCTGTCATTTCCTATTTATAGCCCTGTACTCACTGCACGTTTCGTGGGCTGGGGGAACGTGACATCTATGCTGTACCTCCCATTAGAACAACGTGGGCTGAGTGCCAGCCACTTTAGAATTTATAGTTTCAAATACATGTAGGATGTAATCACAATCTGCATCATAGAATATTTAATTTCATACTTTGCTCTGGTCATTATCTAAGTGTATTTAACACCTAGATGTTTCTTTCTAGTTGTTTTTTGTGTTTTTTCTTTCCAGATATAAGCTTCTTAGAGTGAGGATCATGTGTTCTGTTTATTTTCCAAAGTTCACGGAGCCTAACCCAACGCTGTATGCAACTTTAATAAAAGTCAAGAGTTTCAGAATTCCCTAGTACTTTTAAGAATCATTTGATATCTGCAGTAGCATTCAGTTCAGTTCAGTTGCTCAGTTGTGTCTGACCCCGTGTTCTGCAGCACACCAATCTTTCCTATCCATGACCAACTCCTGGAGCTTGCCCAAACTCATGTCCATCAAGTTGGTGATGCCATCCAACCATCTCATATATGCACTCACAGTTACATGATTACAACACCAGTTTTTTTCTATGGCTGGAAATGTAAACCCTTGCATATATTATATTCTTTTAAAAGGGCAGCAGAGGATGAGATAGATAGCATCACCAACTCAATGGACATGAATTTGAGTAAATTCCAGGAGACAAGGAAAGACAGGGAAGCCTGGCGTGCTGCAGTCCATGGGGTAGCGAAGAGTTGGGCATGACTTAGCAGCTGAACAACAACAAAAATTGACTTCTGGGCTGTTCTGTGTCTTTGTTACCATGTGAACTTTTCTCTAGTTGCAGTGAGGGGGGACTACTCTCTAGTTGCAGTGTGTGGGCTTCTCATTGCAGTGGCCTTTCTTGTTGGGGAGCATGGGCTCTAGAGCATGCGGGCTTCGGTAGCTGTGGCTCATGGGCTCAGTAGTTTTGGCACGTGGGCTTAGTTGCTCTGTGGCATGTGGGAATCCTCCCAGACCACAGATTGAACCTGTGTCTCCTGCATTGGCAGGCAGATTCTTTACTACTGAGCCACCAGAGAAGCCCCACCAGTTTTCATTTTGTTTTGAAGTTAAACCCTATACTTTTGAGATGTGAACTCTTTTGTTGACAGCTGTAATCAGATGAGGCAAGAAGACAAAATTTCAAAAGCAGGCTGTAGCTGTAAGAAGCCAAGGTATCTTTTCTATTTGGCTTATTCAGACAGATATCCAGGCAATTGAGCAGAAAAATAACTCAGTTGTCTGTTTCACTGAAGGAGACATCTGTTATAGTCTCACTCTCCTGTGAGGTTTGGCCACTGACCCCATATGGCCACGGAAGCTTTCTTTATTTACCAGATGTCATGCAGAGTTCAATATATTAGTGTTTCAATTCCAGGGAAACTCACTTAATTCAGGAATAAGGTGATTGCTATTTTAAAAAACTTAAGCTCAGTAGTTATAAGGATGTGTGCGTGTGTGTTCAGTTGCTCAGTTGTGTCCGACTCTTTGGGACCCCATGGACTATAGCCCACCAGGTCTTCTGCCCATGGGATTTTTCCAGGTAAGAATACCAAAACGGGTAGCCATTTCCTTCTCCAGGGGATCTTCCTGCTCCAGGGATCAAACTTGTGTCTCTTGGGCCTCTTGCATTGGCACATGTACCACTGTGCCAAGGATACTATAAATTAAATGACCATCCCTACTAGACGATGAGAATCAAGCAGGATTTGGTGCTCGATCTATTGTCTTTTCAAAGGAGATTTGAATTAAAAGTACTTAGAGGAAATATGGTAATGTCCATCAACGTATCTCGTTTGGAAGAGACCACAGTTTTCAGGATAAAGTTTAATCCTTCTATTTCTACATCCTGTTTTCAAATCTGGTCATTATACTG